TTTGTCTCGGGGTTTTATTAACTACAAATGAATCACAGGGATGTATTGCACACTAAATGTGTTTACAGTAGCTACAGCACGAGTAGGGCACAGCATTGCGGGTAAGAATAACTAAATACTCTGTGTGACACTCGTTCAAAAAAGATCTCCCTGGTTTCAAGACCTATGTAGCAACATACCAAATAAAAAAAAGATAAACATATAGAGAGTTGATGAATTCGAAGGATGTCGGTGGACAAGGAGGAAAAATTGCGCCCTAATTTTAGCGATGATTGCTCCCAGGGCCTTGCACATAGAAAGACAAAGAAAATAGGCAAGGGAACAAAGTGAACGAAAAGAAGAAGAATTAAATAAGCCCCTAGGTAGGTATCGATAATGAGCTAGTAAAAAACGTACTTGAAAGGAAATAAAGAAGAAAGGTCGCAAAATTGTAGAGCTGAAAAGAGAGACAAAATAGAGGCCAAAGACAGGAGAGCCACCTAACCCCCCCCCAGGTATGTTTATCAAAACACCTTTTGAATTGGAAGACACGAAGAAAATAACCCTGCTCCCCAACATGTCCTTCAACCCTATTTTTCTCTCATGCTTTCCATCCATCTTATAACGTAATTAAGCGCGCCTCATCCCAACTGCTTGGTAACAACCGATTATTGCCTTCCTAGCGGTTTAAATCTCCACCATAAAAGAAATTCACAGTGCTCCAAACTCTCTAGATGTCTTTAGGTAGAACGTCTAGACATCACCATTTGATTTCTCATCCATTGGTTGATTGTGTTCACGAGTCATTCTTGCCTCACTAATCCAGCCGTAAATTAGACATCTTTGGTGTAATTAAGGGCAGGGGGTCAAATGGAGAAAGCTTACATTTCCTTGAGTTGTGATTCACGAGCGAGTAGCTCCTGTCGCTTCTCGTTGATTTCACGCTGAACCTTGACCTCAATTTCTCGGAGTTTCTCTTCCTCACGCCTGAGCTGCTCTTCTTTGAGCCTGACGGATTGCGTAGCAAGATCCTCAGGGTTCATAGAGCTTTTTCTTTCGTTTAGTCAGCAATTATTTCTACTAGGGTGTGGGTTTTAGATTTTACATACGCAGATGTACCACCCTCTACAGACTTTGACAACTTCTCGGTTCTGTAATTTTCGTACAAGAAATCGTGCGTGATTTCCTTCAAATCGGCCAAATGAGAATGCAGTAAAGCAGATCTGATTGCCAGGAAATCGGAGTGTCTCGGGTTATCAACCTCGACAATACCCCATGGATACTGTCGGGCGCGAACCTTGCGACCACCAATCTCCACAATTTCTTCGCTTCCAACAATAGCGAAAGGCATCAAGCCACGCAACTCGGCATTTTCCTCAACAGTATCCTCGTCGTCTTCCTCAATGTCATATGGGAAGTTATAGACCGGAATGCGATAATGCTCGATGTCCTCCATCACGAGCTTCTTGGACTCTGCGAGTTCTGCAGGGGTAAGAGCATCCGCCTTTCCGATGACAGGGATGACATTAACGCGGGGAGAAAGGCGCTTCATTAGTTCAATATCCAGCTCACGGAGACTAGCGATAAAAATTAGAGATATCTTTCACGAAATACAGGCAAGACGGACATACCCATGACCTGTTGGTGTGATAAAATAAAGAAGGGCGTGAACACGGTTGTCGCGGAATCGAGGGTTACGCTTGATACGGGACTCCTCGGCAAGAATATCATCGTACTGACGTTCGAGGTAGCCAGATATTTCGCCAAAACTGTTACCAAAACAATTGTTAGAACAAGGATAGAAATAAAGGCGGTATGATATTCAGAACGCACCTGGCCTCGTTATCAATTTGATCACCAAATCCGGGGGTATCGACGATAGTCAAAGATATGCGAGTTCCCTCCTCCTCAAGCTCTGTTGGCCCTATTAGCAAGCTGTTAGGGGGCTAGAGTCAGATACAATATAGCGTACCAACAGTGACAGGCTTGATTCGTACACCCTCTTCAACGTGTGCATTGGCATAGTCATCACAGTCCTTGGTTTGCAAGACCTTCTTGCCGCAAAGAGTGTTTACAAAAGTGGTGCGGCCTAGTTGGAGGAAACGATGTCAGCATAGCACTAGCTATACTTGATGGGAAACAATTCCCTGCACCAAACATGGGGGGATTGAAGCTGTGGAAAGGGGATTGTACCGGTTCCCGAAGCACCGCAGACCATGAGGCAGAATTGAATACCCTTTTTGACATTCTTCTTCCTGCGGATCTGTCGGGATGAGAGCATTGTTAGCGGGACTGCTCTGATAGGCAGTAGAACACGGTTCAATTAGGGGCGGGCGATTGAGACGCGAAGGTTCTTAGTGTATATGTGTTGAGAACCTGTAGAAGAAGGCTAGAGATAGAGAAGAGAAGTAGGAGTATTATGATAATGGTGATAGATGATGAAATGAGGATCGAGGGAGGGGAGGGGGAAGGCAGGATGTGCAGGTGGTGTTGACGAAGTTCAGGGTTAACCTACAGCACTCAAAGGAGAAGACATGGTGGTGGTGTGGTAGATGACTAGGCGATGTGTAGGAACACGGGTCTCAGGGGGTTGTTAATGAATTAGGAAGAGCGGCCACGGGAGCTAGGTAGGTAAGCACACAAAGCACGTCAAGGCACGGGCAGTAAGTCAGGCAAGACGAGGAAAGGTTGAGGAAAAGGAAAGGGAGAGGTTGGAGGTCGTGGTGGGTGGTGAGGGCAGAAAGACAGACGGAGTGAGTCTGGCTTAGTAGGGAGAGGAGGTTGCAGTGTTCAGAATTCTGGAGACGCTGGAGACGAGAGCCAGCATCAACAAGCAGAAGCCCCTTTTCCCGCGAGCCTTGGCAGTCCCCGACCACAGGAAGATCATCACTTTTTATAATTTACCTGGTGAAAATAAACCCCATCGTGACAGTAATTTCAGAATTGGCACCTGAAACATTCCTCTCATGTTCTATACTGTTTGTTTCCCATTTGTACACTGTTTGCAAATTTCCCCATGGCTTGTGACATATAAACTCTGACCAGCTTGGACCCTGATTTAATCTGCAACTTAAAAATGCACCTCTGCCGGACTAGGCCCGTATGTGCTCAGTAGCCGGGTAACCTTTAACTCTTGATGCAACCCCTGTCACTCATCTGACGCACGCGTGTGTGACGCGCCATGATTTGATGCGAAGCTAGCGCAAGTACCAACTCTGAATTGAATCTCGTTCGTGAGCTCCTGCCACAAACCCAAACCCAACTAGAAAAGTAAACAATGAACAATATCCGCGCTATAGAGGCTCTCAACCAGCGTGAACTCGAAGCCGGTGTCGTGAGTATTATCTCTATTCCTCGATTCTCTTTAATATTCTAATCCTCAATCTAGCCGCTTTCCGCATCATGGCACACGGATTGGTCAGATACCGCATACGTCTTCATCGGTGGTCTTCCATACGAACTTAGTGAAGGAGACATTATCACCATATTCTCCCAATTTGGTGAACCTGTACATGTCAACCTTGTTCGTGATAAGGACACCGGTAAGAGTAAGGGCTTTGCCTTTTTGAAATACGAGGACCAGAGAAGCACCAATTTGGCGGTGGACAACCTCGGTGGTGCCACAATCTTAGGAAGAATAATCAGGGTCGACCACACCCGATACAAACCAAAGGAAGGGGAGGTGGTTGATGAAAATGCCCATGCGAACGCTGGGACCAGGGCCAAGAATGAAGACGATCAAGTACGACCTGTGAAAAGAAGAAGAGGCGATGGTAGTTCTGAAGATGAAAGTGGTCGGATAATAAAGGCACCTTCACGGGAGATGCTCAAAGAAGAGTTGGAGCTGCAGAAGTTGATTCGAGAGCACGACGAGGACGATCCAATGAAAGAATACCTGATTCGCGAGAAGAAAGAGGAAGTCCAGAAGGCACTCGAGAAACTAAAAATAGACAAGAAATCGTCAAAACATAGACACCATAGTGGAAGGGGCAACAAGAACGAACATAGGCACCGATCACACCGACATAGGAGCCGGTCTAGAGAGCCTTCTAGGCGCCATAGGTCTCGGTCAGCAGATCGCCGACATTCTGCGAAAGCAATTGAGGAGACCCGTCGTCCACGGGACGATGTTAGGGAGGCACATCGAGATCGGGTTGGTGATAAGAATCGGGTCAGAGACAGAGATTTACGAAGGGAACGGGGTGATGATAGGGAAGGAGGGGATATGAGAGACGGGAATAAAGAGAGGGAACGAGGACAAGGAAAAGATATAAATAAAGAGAAGGGTAGAATCCACCATCGGGATCGAGAAAGAATAGAGGTTACTCGGAAGGAGAGATATGGGGATGACAGGTGAAGCCTCTTTATCAAATTAGTATATATATTGATGTTTCGCAAATGATGATCTAGTTACGGTAGACCTCTCCTGCTCGTACATTATCGGAGCCCCAAAATCAAGGAGATTGGCCGTCGTTAGTTCTAGGTCTATGACTATTCAATCCATTCTTTCTAGGGTTTACTTGCTGTATCTTTGGGCTGTGCGGCTTTCTTCCCATTGGGATTTGTGATGCTTCAAAATAACCAAGAGACTTGAGATGCATTTGTAGAGTATACCGCCAAAACCCTAATCCGGGGTCGGAAGAGCCGGAAGAGCCGGATAGACCAGAAAACATGAATATAGAACTTGTTAAACGGTCCATGTGACGTATAGCTTGATCGTGTTTCTCATTCACCTCTGGTTACTATTTATAGATACACAAGGCTTCAGGTTTTAAAGGGATATCCAAAATCAATCTAATGATCATTGACCGTGTTGTCCCCTGACTCAAAACTTCTGGTTCGTTCGTATCTTCGTTAAGACTTGGCAGACATCCATCCAGTAATGCTAGTTATATAATAACCTATAAGTGCCAATACCTGATACCTCCTTGAATGCCGATTGCACCTCAACCAATCATTTCCATAGCCCATATGGTTGGTTTGTGTATTTCCACTGGACGAGAGATTAGGAAATGAATCATTCAATCATCGGGGGGCGTTTTCCCTACCAGTTTGATAGTTCCATCCTCGGAACCTGTAGCATATAACTTTCCGTCTGGGGAAAAACCAACGCTCCAAACACTTCCATGATGTCCCTTATAAACCTCCAATTCTGCCTGAGTATCGTAATCGTACACTCTGACCCAAGTGTCCTGGCTTGTCCCCGCTATCATTTTTCGTGTTTGTTGATGCAAAGCTACACACGAAAGCTCATACTCCGTTGTAATACTTTTAATGAGTGACATGCTCTGTGTGTCGAAGAAATACGCCGACTTCCCTGCTGTTGCGCTGATAAGAGTTCTCTCCGGGCTTAGCTCACAAGAAGTGACAACTTCACCCATATCAAACTGTGATACCAGCTCTCGAGATCGAATATCCCACCAACGCAGCTTTTTGTCATCTGATCCCGAGACGATTGTATTTTTGTCGGACCAAACGAGCGATTTAATGGTTCCAGCATGTACGTTTGTACCAATTTCCATGGGAGTGTCTGAGTGGGCCAAGTCATAAACTCGGAGTTTTTTTTCCGGGCCACCAGTTGCTATATGAGTAGGGTTTGGGGCGAAAGTGACCGTGCGGACGATATGGTTATGCACCAGGGTTTGGAGACACTCTCCTGTGAATGTATCCCAAACCTTTCTATTCGATAATCAAAATTTGCATGTTAATCTTAATATCATGGGCTAGTTGAAGCTTACGCCGAGAAATCTGCCGAAGCAGTAGCTGCAAGATTTGCGTCGTTTGACAGCCGTGCCTGCCATACTGCACCCTTGTGGCCGAGAAAAGTTCCGATCCTGGGTCGCGAACTAAATTGAGCTTAATCCAACCAGCGTTCTTAAATGGAATCAGCTCACCAATCACCTGTGATACCATCCCGAATCATTGGATTGCCATCTGGAGTGCATTCGTTAGCTATTGACCGGCGGAATCCTGTCGCTCTCAAGAGAAAGAAAATGAAAGGCAGAAACCGAACCTTTACACGCGGATATCAGGTAGTATTCATCGTCTGGTAACATATCAGAGAACGAGAGATGTGTCACTGGCCGAGAGTGACCATGACATGTCAAAGGGACAACACGAGGGGTCTCTACAGAGAAAGATTAGACAACTCCTATAAAACTAGGAGAACCAAGCCGACTGACGAATTGAGCCTCCGCCATTTGTGCTCTGGCCATTATTAGGAAGATTGATCGTTGGTGATCCAGAATTCATTCTAGCTATTTCAGTTCACCCTGGGGGTTGTCTCTGGAGATGGCTGGTAGTCGATGGTCTAATGTGTAGGGACCGCAAAAAGAAGCGAAATTTAGTAGACTGGAGCAGAGTCCACGAAAATATACACAATTACAGGTGAGATGTACTATAGAAGACGAGTGTAAGTCCGCAGGTAGGTGACGGAAAAGGTGGTGGACGGATTTGGTCGTAAAATCGTTAAACGTGGCGTCGAGAACTCGGGGTTAAGTTGGACTGTATGTTCCCGGGCTCTAGACAGATGTGGATTAATGGAATGACAACTTGAGGTGAAGTGGGTGGATGAGGGTGAGGTACCTGGCTAAGCGGTGAGCACTGAACCCTAAGTGTCAATAGACAGGTTGAGCGGGGACGCCTGCACCGGGACAGAAGAACCATAAGACATTTGAGCCTCAAACGGCGGTTTCAGGCTTAGTCATCTAGAGCTAAAGCAAGCTGCCCCGCCAAGTGATGACGATTCAGGCTGCCCCTCTGTCGTGAACACCTAGGGGCTTCGTTATCTCCATCATTCTTCCAAACTTTGTGATTCTTCGACATTGTCATACAATATTTTAGGAATGTACAAGCTTACTGCGCAACTCCGAGGCCACGAAGATGATGTAAGTAGCTTTCATATCTTACCCTGGAGCTCCCTGTGGTTGCTTCTTGGCTTTCCCGAATGTCAGAATATCAAGGTTAATTATAATTCTACTTGTAGGTTCGTGGTGTTGTCTTTCCATCCCCAAATCTTGTTGCCTCGGTCTCTCGGGATGCAACAGTTCGACTATGGAAACGTAAAGACGCACAATCTGTAACTTTCGATGACCATATCAACTCTACCGGACAGGCTTTCGTCAATAGCATAACATTCATCTCTCCTAGTCAAAAACATCCCAATGGTCTGTAAATCTCTTGTTTGTCAAAAGGCAAAGTACTGAATATTTATCCGTGCAGGCCTGATTGTTAGTGGTGGTCAGGACACAATCATTGAAGCCCGAGAACCACTGGCTGGAGCACAGGATTCGGATGCGCCACCCGCATACATGTTGTTAGGGCATAGCCACAATGTTTGTGCATTGGATAACTACGGGGATATCATTGTCTCAGGATCTTGGGACGGGTATATTCCCCTCTTCTATCCGATCTCTGCTTGGTGTTTTAACAAATCGTGTAGTACCGCTCGGGTTTGGCGAAACGGCGAAACACAACACGTTTTGCAAGGCCACGGGCAAACTGTATGGGCTGTTCTCGCGCTTTCAGAAACGGAGATAATTACTGGATCGGCGGATAAGACGATAAGACTCTGGAGGGACGGTAAACAAGTAAAAATATTGGGCGAACATACAGAAGTCGTCCGAGGGCTGTGCAGACTTCTAAATGGTGGTTTTGCTAGTTGCTCTAATGACGGGTAAGTTCTTCTGCCAAAATGACGGAATGCTTTTGTGAATATACTAACATTAATCAGCACGATTCGTCTTTGGAGTGCAGAAGGGCATCCACTGCAAGAGCTTCATGGACACACCTCCTTCATCTACTCAATCGCTGCCCTACCAACTGGAGAGATTGTCTCTTCTGGAGAGGATAGAACAGTTAAAATCTGGAAAGGTAACTTCCATTTATCTGGTTTCTCATAAATACTCCTGTTGGTAGCTCTTTCTAAATCTCTGGACATGATAGACGGTAACTGTATTCAAACTATAACACATCCTGCTATTAGTGTTTGGTCTGTTGCTGTGTGTCCCGAGACTGGAGACATCGTTACCGGGGCGAGTGATAGGGTTGTGCGGGTCTTCTCGCGAGATCAGGCTAGATGGGCTGATGAAGAGGGCTTAAAGGTGCTCCAAAACTCGATTCTACAATTTGGTTGGCATGAAATATCACTGGAGACTTATTTGCTAACTTTAGTTTAGGAATTTGACAGTGCCGTTGCAGCTTCAAGTATTCCTGCGTTAGTGTCTACTTATCCATGAATCTTTATCTAGAGTTAACCTTTCTAATTCATTTTGTAGCACGCAAGTCGGTGATGTGAACAAAAAAGATTTACCAGGCCCAGAAGCTCTTCAGCAGCAAGGGAAAAAAGATGGACAGGTATGTTTATTTTAAGATTAACTTGTGACGCATAGGCATTACAGTACTTAACACTTTGTAGGTAATCATGATACATAATGAGGGGAGCGTAGAAGCCTATACTTGGTCTAGTCAGACCAGATCTTGGACCAATGTTGGGACCGTCGTCGATGCTATAGGTTCGGGCCGCAAACAGCTATATAAGGGCAAGGAATACGATTTTGTCTTCGACGTTGATTTCCAAGAGGGCGCACCACCACTAAAGCTTCCATACAACGCATCTGAAAACCCATTTGATGCAGCCCGAAAATTCCTGGAAGATAACGAGCTTCCAATGACTTACCTGGATACTGTAGGTAATTTCATTGTGACGAATGCAAAGGGAGTCGAGCTCGGTGGAGGTCAAGATAGAGGTGGTCCGGACCCCTGGGGCACAGAGAATCGGTATCGACCAGGAGAAACGTCTTCTCCAGCCCCGCGCCTACAACCAACCAAGCAAAAGTTTATACCACAAACAGTATATCTTTCTATCGTTGCCGCAAATCTGGCAACTATCCAAAAGAAAGTCAACGAAATCAACCAAGACCTCATTGCAAAGGGCGAGAAGGAGGTTGCCCTGAACCCTGACGAGGTCTCTGTTCTTGCAAAGCTTATAGAATTTCTTCAAACTGCTGCTTTACTTAACAAGCCGATAGAAAAGCCATTTGCTGCCACCGAAGCAAGTTTAGACTTGCTCATTAAAATTATCAAGAGCTGGGCGCCACAGAATCAGCTTCCGGGGCTGGATTTGTTGAGGCTATTTGCAGCAGCAAGCTCCCAGGTAGCAACATATCAATCCAGTGACCAAAAGATAGGAGAAATACTCGAGACTTCAGGTGGTTTCGGCAACGGCTTGGTCAACAATGCTATGTTAGCGACGAGAACATATGTAAACCTTTTTCAGACAGTAGATGGTAGAGAATATATGAACACGCGGTTTGAGCGGGTACGTACTTTACGTATTCTTACCCATCCTGAACAGATTTTTTCTAACCCAAATTCATGTCAAAGACTGTTGAGTTAGTTGAAAATTCATCTGCCGGCACTACAAACCGAAACTTCAAGCAAGCCAAATCAACACTTTTCCTCAAGTAAGACCTGCCCACTTCCCATGGTTTTATTGCATAATAATCCTAATAACGACTGGTATAGCTATGCGGTTTTATTTCACTCTACGAACTCAGTTGACCGATCTATTGAGCTTCTCAAGCCTTTAACCACCATTATTGGCACTGAAACGGATTCCGAGGCTACATTTAGAGCGCTCGTGGCACTGGGAACCTTGTTGACACTTAAAGGCGACGTCAAAGCAGCCGCAGTCGGGATATATGAAACACGCCGACTTGTTTCAAAGGTTGAAAGCAGGCTTCCAGAGCAGAGAATCAAAGATGTAGTAGCAGAGATTAAGGCCTTACTTTAGATGGAAGTAAATTGACTGGTAGTGATAGAGAGAAGCAGTAATAGCAGTTGCCTGTATAGACATGGATACCCGGAGTGTTCTCCGTTACATGAACACGTTTCAATATTAAAAGAGATTGAAATCACCATGCAAATCCTCCTCCAATAATAGTGGACTATCATGTGTGGCTTCCTACAATAAGTTTCGCGTGAACTGGGGAGATGTTTAATGATGTCAGTGTTACTGCTGGCATGCTTATTTCCTTTGAAAACCTATTTTATTTTTCTTATGCCGTTGTCGTGGTAGCTTCCGGATTTCTTTTTTGTCTTTTTCTTTTAATTTTCGGGGATGTTCACGAGTTTACATGATTGTGAGGGCACGGCGTTATTGGATCAAGGGACACGGTGCATATGCTGCGGCACTATTAAGTAGGTACATGTCAGCGAAGTCTTACCTTTTCCCTAGCAGCTCTACTAGCAGATCTAGCTGAAACAAATTGTTGCACCCACCATAAGAACTAAGTATCTACATAAATTTCGTAGGTGCTTGTGTCATCAAATATCACTCGGCTAATTCGTTGCTTGGAATCAAGCTGTCACCGAACGACAATTGGTCTCTTATCACTTGAGAGAGCTCGTCGGAGAATAAATAAATAAAGGGCGTCTATAGGGTAAAGTAGCATTATTTTTATGTTAATAATGTCTGACACGTGTGCAGTGCCCAAACGCTCTCCTGTAGCGCGCCCTCAAGCCAGATGAGGAAAGTTCAATTGGTCCAAGCGAGATGCCATTTTGACCGAATATATCATGATGTTGAAGGGGTGAAACGAAGCTTCTAGTAGAACTCATGCCAATCGTCAATTTTCATTCCAGTGTTCGTGCTTCTTACACTTTTGGCATTTTTATCGGGTGTAACGGTCAGAGATTATTTGCAAATTACGGGTACAAATGTGGCTATAGTACGTCATCTGGAAGATTGTGTTTTCTTTTCTCTCGCTAACTCATATCTTTGTATGGAGTAACGAAAGGCTTGTGCCCTTTCCCCGCAATGCATCCCTCTTAAAACCAACGTTGTCTGTTGTCACCAGGAATAAATTTACCGAAATTTACTTTGTCAAGGACATCTACAACACCACCTGACGTCAAGTATTGTGATGGCTTAACCTAGTTGTGTTCAAAAGATGCTAGTTAGAAAGTCCGAGATTCCCCCGGGTTTCATTCGGATGCTGAAAGGGGGGGGGGGGAATACACTCTACATATAAGCTGGGCATCGTGAGCAATGTGGCTTGTACCATTTATCCTAGTAAGAGGACAATATTAATGCCACGTTTTTGTGCAGAATGACTCCAGACCCTAATTCCATTTCCCTCTTCACTGCAGCTTCTCCGCACTGTTTGAAAACTTTGTTCTTCGTTAGAATGCATATACCTATTTGCAAGGGATGAGGTACATGAGTAGATGAAGCAAATAAATAATTACACAAAATACAGTAAACATCAAGTCATCCGCTGATCCCGGTTAGAAAACTTAAAGACACCTGACCAAACGAGTGATCCGGACTGAACACCGACCTCAATTGTATGCAAGATACTAGGGTCTGCAACCAACTATTCGTCCAGAAGAACCGATATCCGCTGATTGTGCAATTATTCTTGGCAGTAATCCCGGCTTCCCTAAATATTCGGGTGAGATGGGGTGCCAATGGTTATCTGTAGACATCTTAATATCAATACATGTCAACTTTAGCTACGTACATATATCATCTATCAGCACTATCGACCGCGGATCCCCCTCCACTATCGTATTTTACCCCACGCTTTTTTCCAAGGAATTCGCACGATGGCAGTCCTAATGTGGCAATGCCTTACAACGCCCACCCGAGGTTAACCTACTTTTCGGTAGTGAAATAAAGCGAATTCTGAGAACGTTAACAAAATATTTGGTTATAAAAGAGAGCTCGCCCCTCTACATACATGAGCACCTACATAGAGCTTAAATGAACCATTACTCTCGAAGGTATGAAGATGAATCTGTTGTTTTCCATTTTCAAATTAATATTTATAACAACCTTTCCCCAACATCCTTAAACCCTTAAGCCAAAACATACACGTTACCCCTTTCTCTATCATCACTTCTCCGTGCCTTGTGTTTGATGACCTCATATGGATGACATAACTAATTTTTTTTTTTTTTTAAGTTCAGATAATCGTATACGTATCCCGTCTGTATCATTGATATTCAATTCAACCATCGCATAAACGTATTTCGGATAAAAAACTCGCTACAAGAGCCTGGTCTCGGTTATTGCGCTTCTGAATAGCCCTTCCGTACGTTGATCTATCAACCATTTGAGATAAAGGCTTCACCTATTAACAAGGCTGGGATTATCAGTTCCATAATCCCCTTTAAAATGGCACCCGGGGTTTTTCAACAGCTCGCTGTCTACAATGGTCGTGATGGCCATCAGCTTGAGGATACATCCGACGCTATCGACAATGTAAATGTCCTCAAAGCCGCCCTGAAGAAGCAAAACATCAACTTCGACGATGCTTCTGAGTTCGATGCCGAGAAAGATAAGACCCAATTTAGACAGTACCTCGATGCTAGTGACAGTGTCAAGAATTTCTACCGTGAGCAACATGAGAAACAAACAGTGGCCTACAATCTCAGGGCCCGGATAAACTTTAAGACAAAGAAGAGGGCTAGAATGAGTATTTGGGAAGCAATGGAGAAACTGAACACTCTAATTGACGAGAGCGATCCCGACACCAACCTTACTCAGATAGAGCATTTACTTCAAACTGCCGAGGCTATCCGCAGGGATGGAAAACCTCGTTGGATGCAAGTCACTGGCCTGATTCACGATTTGGGGAAGCTCCTATTCTTCTTTGATGCTGAGGGCCAGTGGGATGTGGTCGGCGATACTTTCCCTGGTGAGAACCTTTCCATTCAACATGATAGAGTTGTAACTTATGAAGTTCTTTCGCGACAGTGGGGTGCGCCTTTGATAAGCGAATCATTCTTCCAGAGACATTTATGAAAAATCCCGATTACAATCATCCTGTATACAGCACCGAGTTTGGAATCTACCACGAGGGCTGTGGTTTGGACAATGTTATGCTTTCATGGGGGCATGATGAATATCTTTACCACGTTGTCAAACATCAGTCCAGAATCCCCGATGAAGGCCTTGCCATGATTAGGTTCCACTCATTCTACCCTTGGCATAAGGAAGGAGCCTATCACAAATTCATGAACGATCATGATAGGAAGATGCTGAAAGCCGTCCAAGCTTTCAACCCTTACGATCTATACTCAAAGAGTGATGAAACACCAACTGTGGAAGAGCTCAAGGTATAATAGATGCCTCTTCATACCACACAAAAAGTTTGATGCTAACAGCTTATAATAGCCATACTATATGGAGCTCATTGACGAATTCTTCCCTGAGAGAGTCATTGACTGGTGATTATTACAATAAATTCTCTCAAAGGAAAATAAAGAGTCAAACAAACTGCACGGCAATTCTTTCATTTACGATTTCTTTTTCTAGGTTTTGATAGTTAATACACGGAGGCTCTCCCCTTTAGTCATGGTTTCTTTGGTCGCTTCATCTACTCTCCTTTGTATGCAGGTCATGTGGATCATCAACCACATGAGGATTTGGTATTCCTAACTCATCAGAGGCTTCTAAAGTACTAAGATAGAGATATCTGGCATCGCGGCTCTTCAGCCTAAATTTCTATTGATTCAGCGAGAAGACCAAAATTGAAAAAATTCAGATTTCTATCACTCATGATCCGAGTGATAGCTTATGATTGTGATCGAGATCTAAACTTCACTTGGATCTTTAGATGTGGCACTTGTATGCGAGAATGACCGGGTCCGAGATGTGATTGCTGTTTAAATATGTTTCAATGAGAGTAGGTAGACATCTGTATTCCCATCATATGTGATTTATTATCTACGTTGAGGTCCAAGCTATCAACCAGCACAGAAGAGTACTTCCGCCGAGCCCCTGCATATCGCATGTAGCCGGTCCTCCAACAACAGCGACACATCGAGGTATCCGTGTTTCAGAAGTCACGACAAGAACCTATGACTGTTACCTATCCTTTTCTCAAAATCTCTACCTAATAGGTGTCGAGTTGTCAGAGTTGAAAGAGCGCCTATCAAGTTCTTCTGTGGACAAAGTACATGATATACCTATATATACCAGCGCAACGGCCTGGATTCTACCAGACCAGAGTAAAACACACTATATGTCTGAAACCCAGCGTTGTATTCCATCAAATTAACATATCACATTGGTTGAACACAGCGATCCGAACCTCCTACAGGTACATGTACCTACTAACCTCATGGCAGAAAATTGAAAAAAATAAAAACGAACAAATTCAAAGCCAAGCCATAGAATGATATACATAGGTAAAATTACCCAAACCAACGCTAGCTATTTACATACATATTGATATCTCTTGTAGAGTCCCGGTAAAAATAGATGAATATAAACGCCTGCGCCGTTCTACTAGAAATCCCGGAATTGTATATCGTACTTTTCCATCATTTCTTTAGGGTATTCGTCGTCTGTTGTGGGTGCTGGGGGCTCGTAATGGTCAAAATACCTTGTGTCGCCTGCGAATCTAAGGTGTGGTATTATGGGACCCTGGTTGGATTTAACATTAGTCCACGAGAAAAAAGAAAGGAACTGCATAAAAATATATCATATCGGGAGGCATACCGGGTTGACCTGGCTTTCTAGCTCTTGCCAATCAATCCCATCAAAAAACCTGTGCGCCATCACTTGATGGCCGCCACCACGCATGTTTCCTAACCGTGCTGATAGATCTTTGGTGCAAAGTTTTCTTACAATATCCTTGGTTTCCTCTGGGACTAACGAAGGAAACGATATCCGTCCCGCAACAATCTTCTCGTATATCGCGAAGGGAGAGTTATCGTAAAATGGAGGAAATCCACAACTCATCTCATATATCAGTACTCCCAAGGCCCACCAGTCAACAGCTTTACCGTGGCCTTTACTCTGGATAACTTCAGGGCTTAGGTATTCCGGTGTTCCTGAAAAGAAGGAAACGGAACTATATTAGCAGCACTTCTGAAAAAAATGGGATACTTTGAATGTTTATTATACCGCAAAGTGTGTAGGTCTCACCTATGGAGTGGTGGGCCTGTCAGCAAAGCATAGCAAATTTAATTTGTGGGGAAATAAGACAAAACTCACGATCACCGACAACCTTGGCAAAGCCAAAATCTACCAATTTTACATGGCCTCTTGCATCAAGTAAGATGTTCTCGGGCTTCAGATCTCGGTAAACGATACCATGGCTATGTAAAAATACAAGGATCATCGCAATTTCTGCTGCATAGAATTGTGTCGTGGCAAAATCAAAACGGCGCGCTCGTCGTAGATATCCGAAGATTTCACCGCCTGTTGAGAATGGCGGATATTAGGCATTTGACTTGTGTGTTTGGGAAGAAAGTGGGTGCACCTGGCGAGTATTCAAGCTTTATCGATGGTGTTAGCATGCGCAGGTAGTTTATCACTGCAGTAAATCTACGAAGGACATACAAGTATATATAACGAATTTCGGTCTTGCCACGAGCACAAGTAATGTGTGATAAATGGATGTGGCCGGCAGACTTCCAAAATTGCTCTTTCGTTGCGTACCTAAGTCATTTTTTCAGCACTCAAGTATTCCTCATATCTTACGCGGCGGGAAACAGCATGATCGGGTTTGACTATAAGTTGTGAGTAAATGAAGATAATCACATACATGTTCGCATTGTTTCAGCCGAACAACTAAAATCCCATAGTACAAACATCAGCCTCTAGATATAAAAATTGCAGCCTTTCCCTGGCATATCCTGAGAATTTAGAGAATTTAGCTCCCTTACTGTCGGATTTTTTCAACTGTTTTAGGGCAAAGAGAGGTGCCTCGCCAGAGTTCGGCACGCTCCGAGGCTTTACAAGCCACACCCTGGCGAAAGTCCCGGTGCTGTCCCGCAGTCAGAAAAAGGCAATCATTATAACACATGGCCGACTCGTTGATTACCCCAAGGTCGTCATGAAATCGAAATCATCGACAGAAGGTTTCCTCCACTCCGAATCATCTTTCATCTCTTCTTTGAAGTCCGTCTGCGTTGTAGTAGTAGTAGAAGTAGTGGACTCTAGTTGTGAGACAGGCGGCTGAGCGGATGATACCGGGGAGTGCAACGAGTCGCTTTGAAAGTCAATATCCATTCCCGAATCAAACTTGAGGCCTGGCTTCGATCTTTCTTCCTCTGTGATGCTATCTGGAGGAGGTGTAGGAAGGTTCGAAGGTCCACGGTGCATGTTGGGCTCCATGTTTCAGTGGAGAACGGTGAGTATGTAAGTGAACGAGAGTGAGTATGTGAACGGTGGTTAAGCAGCTGTGAAATATGTTGTTGTAAGCTCTTCAAGGAGCATTAACCAGAAAACCGGTTTGCAGAAGTCAAGTTATCCAAGCGTGGCTCGATCTTCCACAAGATAGTGGCCACACGGCGTCGCAGATGCGGGTCTTTATTGTCTGAGCTCTAGGCGCTGCGTTGTGGACTGAATGATCGCCTACCTTCCCCAAACTTCGCGTCACAAGGAGGAGTCAGGGGAGCGGAGAGCCGGTGGAGGGGCAGAGGGGGGACTGGGGTTCAATACTGTAATACAGACAGCCATATTACGGCCCACGGTTCGGCGCCGCAGATCGAGATAAACAGCGGACCTGGCCAGATGACAGTGCGGGCATACGGGGTATGAAAATAATAAAGGGCAAAAAAAAAAAAAAAAAAAAAAAAAAACGCTCGTGTGAGCAGTACACCACGAGAGAGAGAAAAAAAGTCACTTTCTTTTAGAATCTGCAGTGTTTATACAAGCAACTTTCTCGCCATTATTCAACACGGTGGCGGAGAGAAGCCCGACAGTGGCTTTTAGAGAATACCGTACCGACATAGATTCCATAGTTACGAGCCGATGAAGTGACGATAGGATGTAGGTACATGGTGACTAGGTCTCTGTGGCGGTAACGCCGAATAGCCTACCAAGAATCAATATTTCAAGTTGCTTAGTGCGGATATGATTCTGGCGTTGGGGATTTCAAAGAGGGAAGCCCTTTTTCTTTCTCTTTTTTCCTTTTTTTCCTGCTCTTCACAGTTGCACAATAGATTAGACCAAATACCCTGCAGATGTTTCCAAAAGACTGGGGGTGCGGGTACGAAGAACGGCTGGAGGTACATAGGTACATCTAGGTAATGTGTGTATGTAGTAAAGATGGGAGGGGCATCTTCTCTCTCTCTTTAGGATTTCATTCGGTAGTGCAAAAGCTGCTGAAGGTCATTTGGGAGAGGGGAGGAGTTGTGGAACAATAACAGTAAGGACCTATACATAGTCCGGTCGAGGCGCCGAAAATTCCGTAGCTGGACCAGGCACGGATGTGAGAATTACAGGCAGTTAAATATCGTCGGTCCGGACCTCGTAAGGTCCAAAGCCAACGAAAAGCTACCAAAAATAAGGACCAAAATCATGAGAGTATATACGTAGAATTGATTGAGTACTGTAAATAACAAGTACACAAATGGACGAAATTGAAAAATAAACAGCAAAACGTCATGGCTTCATTTCCACTTCCCCTGATAAGTACCTAAATTGTACTCCGCAGCCGGTGTGCTTTCTGCTCCACTCTTACTGGACAAGTGATCCCCAAGGCAGCAGCTCAAGTCCACATACAATGTGGGTACTAAAGACCCTGACAAGCTCAGATCGGGGGAGAAACATGCATTCAATATAGGCCGGGTAACCTAGAATCTCTGGACAACGGTCCCCACCACCACGACACCCAACGCTCTATCCGGCTGTCCATCCCCTAACTTGACCTCCAGTGTCTGTCTACCTCACTCACTCAACGCCTAAACTCCTACCTTTACCACCACCGCCGCCACAACCTACACCCCACGCCCCCCCTCCCCCCTCCTCAGAAAAGCTGCATGTCGTTACAGCATCTGAAATTGTACTCCCGTTTGTACTCACCATCTCATAATTCTTCTGTCTGGAAAAACCTAAAATATACTTGCTATTTTGCTCTGGGCTGGCTGGCTGGCTAGTTGAATATTAGTCATTTTTTTTTGCCTATCTGTCCACTTCCGCAGATAAGGTAGCCTTGGTGTACATATGTTCAAATCGCTAACCAATTATTATGGTCTTCTTGAACAGATAAGCTTTCCCGGTAATCATGGCCGATCCTCAGCAGAACTCACGATACCGTGCTCATCACAATCCTCCTGCTCCGGGATCTCAACGTGACAATGATTTCGCAAACATCTTCGGCACTGCTCCATCCGGACGTTCACACACAATGACCTCTCAATCAAACCCAATGCCCCTAAATGGGCGCTCCCAGACAATGACATCTGCCTCACAAATGTCTGCTCCTGGCTATGGTGGTGGTAGCGGGCCAAACGGATCACCGCGTCAACAAAGACAAGGACACCCGCCGAACGGCTATCCACCTCAGAATCCATCTGGCTATCCACAGCACGCCCAAAACCCCAACTCCAGGATGCAATCACAACCCCAAAATTTACCGCAACCTATGTATCCCGAGCGACGACCTTATCCCCAGCCAATGCGTGTTCAACCCCCTGGTGCCCCTCCCCCAAACCCCAATATGACCAAGCCAGCACCACACCGGTATTATCCACCGCCACCTGCGCTGAATAACGACCCTTACCGTTCCAGATCTATGGCAGCTTCGTACTCACCTAATATGGGACCCCCAGGGCCTTCATTCGCCGGCTACCAGGGAACAAGACCTCCAGGTCCACAAATGTCGAGAACCACAGCTCAGGGCAGGGTTGTTCCCGAAAGGCATGACGAAAGGACAATGTCATTGACCACATATTCTCATGAGCGGGATCATGCGCAAACGATGAGTGGGAGAGTGATACCACACAGGCGTAAAGACTCCCAGGAAAGTCAATATAGCCAGTATAGTCAGAGTGGGCAACCATCGGGTCAGCAGCGACTCAACTCCATGCCTGCAAGAGAAAACAATTTCGCCGCTAAACAAAGAACGCCAAGCTCTGCAAGTAATTCTTCAAGCATTACTGCATTCTCTGCTTCCGCTGCCCCCTCCACAACTTCAACATTCACACAGGCGACTGAACGGCCTTCAATGCACAAATCTGGAACATCCTCCTCCGGAGGAGGGGGGGGGATGGAAATCCCACCCCAGAAGCGAGCACCACTCGTATATCCAGCTCTATTATCTCGAGTTGCATTTGTATTAAGGGAGCGGATATTGATTGGGGATCGGGAGAAGAATCAGCTGACCTACAAATCAGCATTTACGGGCGCGGAAGCTGTGGATGTAATCGCATATATAATCAAAACCAGCGATCGGAGTCTTGCGTTGCTTTTGGGTAGGGCTCTTGATGCTCAAAAATTCTTTCACGATGTTACATACGACCATCGGTTAAGAGATTCACATTCGGAGGTTTATCAATTCAGGGATGGTAATGCTGGTATTGTCGATGAAGAAAACGAAGTCAACGGGGTATTTACTCTCTTAACGGACTGCTATTCGCCTACTTGTACACCACAGCAGCTATGTTATTCCATAGCTTGTCCTCGTCGCTTGGAACAGCAAGCGAGATTGAATATGAAGCCACAGCCTGGTCTAAGGAGGGAAGAGTCAAGGTCTAGCTTACATGGAGATGATGAGAAGGAACAAAAGTTGTGGATTCACACAGTACCGAAGGAGATCGCAGAGGGTGTTTCGGAGAAGGAACAGAAGAGGCAAGAGGTCATTTGCGAATTAATATACACAGAGAGAGATTTTGTGAAGGATTTGGAGTACCTTCGGGATTTCTGGATGAAGCCGTTACTTTCGAAAAATCCCAACAGTCCTTCGCCGATTCCTGAGCACCGCCGTGAAATATTTATCCGTACAGTTTTTGGCGATGTAATGGAAGTTCACGCCGTCAATTCTCGTCTGGCAGAAGCTCTCACTCGAAGACAACAAATCTCACCAGTTGTTCACAACGTCGGTGACATTTTCCTAGAATTTGTGCCGCAATTTGAGCCTTTCATTAGGTATGGCTCGAACCAGTTATACGGGAAACATGAGTTTGAAAAGGAGAAGGCTGCAAACCCAGCTTTTGCACGTTTCGTGGAAGAGACTGAACGTAAGAAAGAATCACGGAAATTGGAGCTAAATGGCTACCTTACGAAACCAACAACTCGTCTTGCTCGATATCCATTACTACTGGAGGCTATACTTAAACCTACGTCTGAAGATAATCCTGATAAGAAGGATCTAAAGAGGGCAACCGAGCTGATTCGAGAATTCCTTACTCGAGTGAATATTGAATCAGGGAAAGCGGAAAATCACTTTAATCTCATGCAGCTCAATGAACAACTTGTATTCAGACCGGGGGAGACAGTTGATCTGAAACTGACAGAGGAGGGAAGGCAGCTCCTGTTTAAGGGAAGCTTGAAGAAGAGCGCATCTACAGATGGTGGGGGAGATATTCAAGCATTTCTATTTGATCATGCCTTACTGCTGGTTAGAATAAAGGTGGTGAACAAAAGGGAACAATACAAGGTGCATCGAAAGGTATGCACACCAATTTCATCTTTACCTTTCTTTTATTTGTGAGAGATTATATCTGATGTTCACCATAGCCAATACCGCTTGAATTACTTGTTATTACTCAAATGGAAGAGGTTCTTCCCGGAAGGGCAGGGGGGATTGCGAAACGGCCTTCTTCGAGTCTCATCCCCGGATCGTCCAAGACAGATACAAAAAAGATACCGAATGACTTTAATAACAAAGAAAAGGGATACCCAATCACTTTCCAACATTTGGGAAAACGGGGTTATATCGTTCCCCTGTTTGCTGGTTCAGTGGTTAGTCGAAGGAAGTGGATTGAACACATTGAAGCTCAACAAACCGTGTTGAGGGAGAGAAGTAACATATTTACACGAACAATTCTTTGCGACCAGTTCTTCAACGCAGGCAATCGTGTTAGCTGCCTTGTCCCCATTGGTAGGTTTAATAGTTTATTATGAACAAAATTTAATCAAGCGCTGACTATTATCAGATGGTGGCCGAAAGCTGGTATACGGAACGGAAAACGGCATTTACATATCTGACCGGAAGTACAAAGATGGATCTATGCCAAAGAAAGTCATTGAAGTCAGTAAAGTCGAGCAGATCGACGTATTGGAGGAGTTTTCGATTATTCTCATTCTCTCAGAAAAGACCCTTATGTCTGTTCCTGTTGAAGGCCTTGATCCCAACGATACAACTCTTGCCAATAAACGGCCGAAGAAAG